GAGATAGTTTAATTATACCACGCGTGTATTAAATAGTGATGAATAAAATGATATGACAAATTGTTCAAATACTGCTGCAATAATTCAATCAATCACAGAAAAGTACCGTATTTTGATTTTCAAAGTATCATTATACTGATTCCTGGAACATGTAAACCGATAAATGCAAAAAAGTCTACATTACCCAAACAATGCTTTGGTACGCGACATATCAGTAAACGGGAGAGATGCGAACATCTCATTTTAATTAAATTTTATTGGGATAGAGAGCGAGATCCTAAACTTTCAGACTGAATTCGTCATTTTCCATTAGATCATTGTCCACTTTCCATAGGATATCATCACAGATATGTGACTTGTATCATAAGGATCTAGTCATTATCATTAGATGACCAGTCGTATATTGCTCAACTCATTCGGGCTCAGAAAGTTATATCTCTCGAATTTAACAAATGTCATAAATACATTAGAATATAATCATTGCTGTGTTAAATACTTCATAAATCCCATAATGCATCTGAGTGTGCCAATAAGATCAGTGTTTACGTTACTTGTCAGATTTTATAGTCGTGTAAACTCCACTCAATATAATTCATTGCTGAATAGTGTGTAAAGGACTCGAACTCGTCATAACTTACTGCATACGCCAATTTTATGTTGAGTCAAATTGTATGTTTTTTGTTCTATATCTACATTGTAGATAATAAAAGATTTCAGGATGTGTCTGTCTACATAGCACGTATCGCTTTACATATTACCATTCTGACCAGCCTTTACGTACACTTCAATAACTTCTGAACCAAAAGACCTCCCTGATCCTTGTGTCAGTTATATTACCCCGTTCACAGCGGAACATATCGATACACATGCAATTGTAATATATTTTGAAACAGATTTTGTCGGTTGGTTATACAGTAATTTTATAGTTTGAATGCCTCTTTCCATCTCTCTCTCTCCCCCTGTGTCCCCATCCCCCCTCTCTCTCTCGTTCGCTCGCTCGCTTAACTCTGGGTATGTATGTTTCCCAAAATTCATTGGAGTTGATGTTTATCAAATTGTTAATACATTACTTACTCGGACAGTTTTCTGTCAAAACATTTACAATATAATTTTAGAATACTGTAAAATCTTAATAATAACAGGTACAGCGTCATAAGTACAAAGTAGATGGTGACGTATGATAGCTCTGTCTATTTTTGGCGGGACGCCAGGAGTCCGGGACATTAGCCTGTCTGTCGGTAAAATCACGTGATATGCCCGTAACAAGGAAGTGTACAGATGAAGTTGTACCGTCATAATAACAAAATGGTGGCAGTTCACAGTTTGTAGACAAAGTATTTCTTCAAACTCACTAAAGTACCAATATCATGGCAAGTAACAGGTCCGTACGGCGTGCCCAGGAGCCCGTTACCTACACGTGTGCTTTGTGTGACAGTAAAGACGGGGTAAGATGGTATTGCAATGATTGTCAGGAGAATTTATGTGACCGGTGTAAGGAAACCCATACACGCGGAAGGAAAACTAAAAATGATGACGTCGTGTCGATAGGGGAGGCTAACCGTCAGGGCGACAAGTCTGTACCAGAGGTATGTAAACTACACCCCGGTAAACTGTGTGATCTCTATTGTTCGGACTGCAACCTGTTGATTTGTTTGATGTGTTTATCTAAAACTCATAAACACCACAACTGGAAACATTTTGAAGACGAATTTTCCATTAAAAAGCAACATTTCAAAGAACATATGATAGCAATTTCTGTTAAAATAGAACATTTCAAGAACGAGACATCAGAGCGACATCGTGTTAACGAAGGGTTTAACGACAACATTGATACAATGAGGAAAGAGGTGAACTCTCAAAGAACGAAGTTAAAGGCAGAAGTAGATTATATCGCTGATGCAATACTAGCTGAATTATCAGCTTTAGAAAAAGAAGAATCAGCTATGTACAAGAAAGATTGTCAACGATCAGAGAAAAATTTCAAAGAACTGACGCATCTGCTTGAACAAGCGGAAACGGCGGATACATCAAGCGTATCTTTCTTTGAAACAGAAAGGTCATTGAGGACAACTCTGCCCCTGTATGACGTTAATGTGAAATATGTTTCACCAAAACAACCAAGCTTTGTTACCGGAAGTATCGACCGCGTCCTGTTGACGGAAATGTTAGGTGAATTACACCACAAGAACCAGTACGAGAAGACAGACATTGACAATAAACAAGTCCAGCGTCTATCAAAGTTCACTGTTACCCAACAAACTATAATACATGGTATATGTCCAGTCGACGACAGTCATGCGTGGCTTTCAATACACAAATACCAGGGTCTGGTACTGGTTAACAAGGAGGGTGTGGTCAAAGAGACAGTAAAACTGGACTTCTGTCCATACATGATCGCCATGGTCGGGACAACAGACATACTTATTACCAGTTATGATGTTTGTACATATGTATATAAACTATCATTACATAACAAACAAGTGACAACATTTGCTGACATCAAACCACATAGAGCACGGGACATCAGTATCAACGAGAGGGACGAGGTGTTTGTTAGTACATTTACACCAGACATAGTGGTACTGAATCAGTCAGGCACGATTATACGGAAGGTCAGTATTGGATCAGAAATAATAAGGTACGTTGTCGGCTTGTCACCGGAACGTCTGTGTGTAGTTCAAACAATCGGAGGAAGCCTGTCTGATAGGAACATAAAGATAACGGACGAGTTAGGTACCGTCATACTGCAATGGACTGGTGAACTTAACAACGGTCAAACAGTCGGTAGTATGCGCCTCTGTAAGATGTCATGTGATAAGTACGACAGACTGTTTGTACCAGACTACAAGAACAATCAGGTGTATGTCCTACAGAGAGATGGAAAAAAAGCTGTGTGTCTCCTGGACCAGAAACATGGAGTGGTCAAACCTACAGCGGTGGGTTTGGACACGTGTGGGAACGTGTGGATCGGGTGTAGCTACGGTACCGTACACGTGATGGGACTGTAATATGAGGAAAGATACATGATGAACACTTGACCACGTGGTACAATATTGCATTATGTAAATATGATTCCACGACAGTTCACCGATAAATGTATAAAAAGTATCAAATGTCCTCAAATATCGAATCAGATTGTACAAACATTTGAACAGTGAATGTATTAATTAGTGTCACATGACCGTGGTAATCTGACAAACATAAGTAACTCGATTGTTTATACCAACCAACATGACTTTCTAACAACTATTAGTTAAAGTGTGTTACATAGATATTTACAAAATGTAATCAACTGTTAAATGTAAGGTAATACATGTTTGGTTGAGTTGTTTTATACCTTGTAGTATTGAAATGTAACAAGAATGACTGATACATTTTGGTTTGTATTTACATTGTTATAACCTTTAAACAGACATGTATAGATATAACACTAAATAAAAGCTTTCATTGTATTACTGCTGTGTACTTGTTTGTTTTAACTATTTTTAAGTATCTGGAAATCTGATAATAGGCTTGGTTCTTCATAATGTATTTTGAAAATCAAAGGTGTTTTTTTCTTTCTAAATTCCTTCCTGCCATAACCGTTATATTTATAAAATTTTGAAAAAGGGAAGAAAAAACCATTCCAGTTTTCAACAATAACAAGATTTTCTTCTGTAAATCAACAATAAGAGATTTTGCAGAGAAAAAAGTAAGGCGAGGTTTAATTATAGACTTCCAGAGACTTCTATTCCATCTATATAAACCCCTTTCGGAGAGATGACGTTTAGATATTCGTTGATACATCCTATACATCGGGATAGGTTGAAAAAATCTACTGTGATGGATTCTCAGGCCCCTGTGTGCTGGGCAAACAAGAGAGAACCCGATGTGTGGACCAACCATAAAACAAAACATAAGGATATGTACAATTATTCATATACATCCTTACGTCCCTGTGACCGGGCTTATTGGAGGTACTTATTATCAGGGTGGGTCCACACATACCGAAAGTGATCAATTCGTAGGCCTGCTAATTAGAGGAACTGATTATCAGGGTGGGTCCCCCCCTACCGAAAGTGATCAATTCGTAGGCCTGCTAATTTGAGGAACTGATAATCAGGGTGGGTCCACACCTACCGAAAGTGATCAATTCGTAGGCCTGCTAATTAGAGGAACTGATAATCAGGGTGGGTCCACACCTACCGAAAGTGATCAATTCGTAGGCCTGCTAATTAGAGGAACTGATTATCAGGGTGGGTCTACACCTACCGAAAATGATCAATTCGTAGGCCCCTGTGACTGGGATAACTATAGTGGTACCTGTGTGTGGACTTTTGTACAGTGCATGTATACGTCTATATACGTTCATATACATATACAGTAGGTATTTTATACTACAGACTATAGTTTACCTGTAATTAAATCTTATTGTTCTATACCTGACACCAAATCTCACTTAGCATACATCAAACACCTTATCTGTATTTAGGAAAATACCAAAGGTTTGCTAGATGACACGACTCCGTACAATAATACACATAGTGATCAATGTCCATGCCCCTGTGGCCAGGTCTACTAAAGGTACCTACATGTATGTGTGGTCCAACCATAAAAAAACGAGTTGCATTATAATGCCATCGGGGAATAATCAGATCAAAAACCTCGGTCATGTTTTCGCTATGCGTATTGGGAAAATATTGACTTCCTTTTTAAAACAAAATTGACAAAACTATGAGGAAGATATAAGTAAGAGGATTTCGACAGAGAATTTATTTGTATGTGAAATACATTTTCTTATCTATAGGAGTTTCATTTCTTACCTGGGGACACTACAGTGCACATATGCAGTATGTGTCTATAGCTGGATTTTGACTATAAAATCCGAGTAAATAACACTCAAAACATTCGCATATTTTAAACCGACAAAAGACTGAACAACAAAAGGTAAATGTGTGCCTTTAGTTTGGTACGAAGGTGTTTAATTATGCCATGCATGTTACATATTAATAAAAAGAATAACATCAAATATTCAATCAAAGAAAATGTACTGTATTTTATTCACATTTCACATTTTCAAAGTACATGCTGATTCAAAAATACATGAGTACTTATCAATTTTACATACGAATTCTGGAACATTTAACCGCTGGGCATGGATACAACCAGTCTACATGAAATCAATGACGTCATAGACCTACGACATTTGGGTGTATGTGGGTGTGGGTGTGGGAGGGAGCTATATACTGTGAGGACAATAATTCAATCAATTGTATCATCAATGTATTTAGATAGTATTTCACATTTCAAAGAACGTTCTTATTCAGACATACATGAAATCATTATCACTTTAACATACTGACCTCTGGAATATATTAACTGCTACGCAGGAATACAATCAGGCTACATTAACTTAATGACGCCATAGAGCTACGATATTTGGGTATTTAATGTGTGTGTAGGAAGGGGAGGGGGGTCTATGTACATTACGGGATAAAAGGATATTATTAAAGTTTGGGAGGGAGCTCTCATGCTGAATTCGTCAATGATATACAATATCTACTTTCCATAGGATATCATTTGGCTCGCTGAACGATACTGTAATCGGTAATGGTACACTATAGTATCACCACAGACTGACTGGTCTTTTACATATCTCGTCATAATCATTGTTCCAATCATTGGTGCACAAATAGTTTTTAACAAGTGTCATCAATATATGTAGGTAGTAGGTAGGCTATACAGTGACACGAGAACACTGTGTTCTAATGCTTGGTCGAAAGCATATTACTCAAGTTCAAATTACAACCTAAATGTGCAACATAACACACATGTGTACACACAGTATGTCCTATTCACACATGTAATGATGGTTACATACGATAGCAAGATCTGTCTTTCAGTTAGACTATTTTTGGCCTAACGCCAGGCGTCAGGGACATTATCTTGTCTGTCGGTCAAGTCACGTAATACATCCGTCGTCAGAGTTGATTATCTTGTTCTCCGGTCTGTTCCAAGTGTAGATTTGTTTTTTGTAACAATGAAAAGCAAATCAGGGTTTTCTGTCGTTTAATCTTCAATTTACACTAGAGGTATACCTCTCTTCAATAACTATAAGTTCGTTCCAGCTTTCGTTTTTTCCCCGGGAGTGTGATAAGCCAACATTAAATTCTTCACAGAAGATATCTTAAATAATTAGGAAATGTCTTATAACAGATGTATCTTATAATTATAAACCTAAATATATGAAATATATCTATTACATACTAATATCTTTAATTCAATCACAGATAACTTTTAGTCATTTAAAAATATACAATACAGTAATATTATTGTTATTTTTCTTGTAAAAGTATTTGTTATTCATTTCAAATATCGTTCGTTCATGCATAGATATCTTTTCGATATTTATTCATTAAAGCTACACTGTTCCAATAGCGGTTTTGCCAGTGGGACGGGGATCTTTATTGGAATCTTAGGGTAGGGAAACTTAGGGTATATTATCTGAAAAGTTTACCTATACCTGGGTCTGAGCTAGATTCGCCGAATAATGTATGATATTTGATTCTGCTCTATATGGAATACAAAGGGTTTGCATTGAATTTGTGTGATAGAGTAGAGACATCAGTGTCCTAATGAGATAATCTGGTTTCGTATCTGATACAGGTTCATTGTAGACGTCATTGATAACTTATATAGTATTTAGTGGATCAACATATCTTCAAACTCTCTCCCGTCGGTAAGTACCCCGAGTAAACGTTACTTTTTTCAATCAATCTTTACATTAATTACATATTTTCATTTTATAATCACAATTTTAAAGACTCCTCGAGCTCTAATGGACATCTTAGGTTTACCGGAGTGAAGATATGGAATCGGGTGGTCGGGTGGCGCAGTGGATAGCACACTGGCCCTTCACCAATACGACCGGGGTTCGATTCACCGATCGTTTGTGAAAAAGTATGGGGTCACCTGCCCGATCAAGTGGGTTTTCTCCGGGTACTCTGGTTTCTTCCCACATTTAGACCCCCCGTATGCCAAACAAGAGTGATTAGTATAAGTTGTAAAAAGTTGTTTCATAATTGTTGTAAAGAAGTTTTTATATACGATATGAAATTGGACAAAGGATTAAGTTTATATCTCGCCGTATTAATTTTTATCAGAGCAAATCACTATCATATTTATTTTCTTTTAAAAACCTACTGCATAACACAGTAGAAGAATTTGGCATAAAGTGTTTTTTTCACAATCCTTATTCATATTCAGGAATTTAATCTTAGTTATATTTAATTTTAATACGTATGAATAATCGTATGTTTATGCATTCTTGAAATCACCAAACAGAAAAATGTAACATTGAAATATCGACAAATACCTTGGTATGTTTTCATATAATCTGTCGTTAAAATAATCCGGGTCGGTTTGAGAGTGATAATTCTATAATACGGATAACTTGTTTAGCTATATTACAGTATAAATGTTGCAGAAAATTTGGTAATTGAGAGATATTACAAGACACGTGACCAACACGTGCTTTTCTACTTGCAATTGAATGGGTTGGTGTTGGCGGGGGATGGGGTTAGTTTTTCATCTGAAGCAAATTTCTTTTTTCAAAAATTCTTATTGAACTTGTAAGTTGCTTAAGTTATTATTTCCAAAAAATCATTTTATAACATATCACCATTCGAAATTCATAACATAGCTATGTTTCTATTCGTAATTTAACAATTCAATCAGATCGGCAAGATAAAAATAGGATGAAAGTTTCCAATGTTTCACTGCTAAATTACCTCAAAACATTCACACACAAATCAAAGACTAAATAAATGTAAATGTGTAGGATATGCCCTATTACCATAGATATGAGGCTGAAGTCAGTTATGCAGTTTTGCATCCATAATTGAAGATCAATATAAACCCTTGCTTGTATGCTATCATCAAAAATGTCCTATTCTAGAAAAGTTTTCCACAAAAAGAATTGTTGTAAAACAAAAATGAACAAAAGTTATAGGGATCGATCTCGAGACCTATACACTGCCCTTCGAAAACTAAATTCAGCTCAGACATATCAATCTTCATTACCATAACTACTGATGCAGTGGTACCCTTTCAGTAATTGATTATTTAGGGTATACATTTTATTCAGTGTGAAATGCAATCTAACATCTCGGCTGTTTCCGGGAAGGAGTTATGCCGTTCCACACCTTGCAAAGTGTGCGTGATTGGTGAACCGTGGCGATTGGTATTTATTTTCATAGTGATATTTATTTAAACAAAGGAGGACATTGGTTTAAGTTAGAGAATGACCTCAATCTCGGTCATTGTCAATTACAATTACATTTACATAAATGATAACGTACGATAGCAAGATAGGGTTTTCTGTCCTAACGCCAGGAGTCCGGGACTTTATACTGCCTGTCGGTAAAATAGCGTGATATACCCGTAACAAGGAGGCGTATAGATAAAGTTGTACCGACATAACAAATGGTGGCAGTTCACAGTTTGTAGGCAAATTATTCCTTCAAACTCACTAAAGTACCAACATCATGGCAAGTAACATATCCGTACGGCGTGCCCAGGATCTCGTTACCTACACGTGTGCTTTGTGTGACAGTGAAGACGGGGTACGTTGGTATTGCAACGATTGCCAGGAGAATTTATGTGATTGGTGTAAGGAAACTCATACACGCGGAAAGAAAACTCAAAACGATGACGTGGTATCGATAGGGAAGGCTAACCGCCAGAGCGACAAGCCTATACCAGAGGTATGTAAAATACATCCCGGTAAATTATGTGATCTCTATTGTTCAGACTGCAACCTGTTGTTTTGTTCGATGTGTTTATCTAAAACTCATAAACACCACAACTGGAAACATTTTGAAGACGAATTTTCCATTAAAAAGCAACATCTCAAAGAACATATGACAGCAATTTCTGTTAAAATAGAACATTTCAAGAACGAGACGTCAGAGCGACATCGTGTTAACGAAGGGTTCAACGACAACATTGATACAATGAGGAAAGAGGTGAACTCTCAAAGGACGAAGTTAAAGGCAGAAGTAGATTATATCGCTGATGCAATACTCGCTGAATTATCGGCTTTAGAAAAAGAAGAATCAACCATGCACAAGAAAGATTGTCAACGAAAAGTCGAAGAACTGACGGGTCTGCTTGAACAAGCGGAAATAGCGAATATATCAAGTGTATCCTTGTTTGAAACAGAAAGGTCATTGAGGACAACTCTGCCACTGTATGACGTTAATGTGAAATATGTTTCACCAAAACAATCAAGCTTTGTTACCGGAAGTATCGACAGCGTCATGTTGACGAAAATGTTAGGTATATTACACAGCGAGAACCGGCACGAGAAGACAGACATCGACAGTAAACACGTTCAACGTCTCTCAAAGTTTACGGTTACACCAAAAAATCAATTAAACGGTATATATCCAGTCGACGACAGTCACGCGTGGTTATCACTATACCAATATCAGGGTCTGGTACTGGTCAACAGGGAGGATGTGGTCATAGAGACAGTAAAACTGGACTTCTGTCCGTGCAGAATCGCCATGGTCGGGGCAACAGACATACTTATGACCAGTTATCCACATAGTACATTTGTATATAACCTATCACTACTCGACAAAGACGTGACAATATTTGCTGACATCAGAACACATGACGCATACGACATCAGCATCAACAAAAGGGACGAGGTGTTTGTTAGTACGAGTACACCAGACATGGTGGTACTGAATCAGTCAGGTACGATTGTGAGGAAGGTCACGATTGGATCAGAAACTATAATGTTCGTTGTCTGCTTGTCACCTGGATGTCTGTGTGTAGTTCAAACAATTGGAGGACGTTTGTATGATAGGAACATAAAGATAACAGATGAGTCAGGTACCGTCATACAGACATGGACTGGTGAAGTCAACAACGGTCAACAGGTCGGTAGTATGAACCTCTGGAAGATGTCATGTGATAAGTACGATAGAGTATTTGTACCAGACATCAGTAACAATCAGGTGTACGTCCTACCGAGAGACGGCAAACAAGCTGTGTGTCTCCTGGACCAGAAACATGGAGTGATGGAACCTACAGCGGTGGGTGTGGACACGTGGGGTAACGTGTGGATCGGGTGTAACGACGGTACTGTACACGTGATGAGACTGTAACACGAGGGAATAGTACATAGGGTACATTTGACCTCGTGGTACAATAAAACATTATGTAAATATCATTCCACGACAGTTCGCTGATGTATGAAGCATGAAATACCCTCAAGTATCGATTCAGATTGTACAAACATTTGAACAGTGAATGTATTAGTGTTACATGACCGTGGTAATCTGACAAACATAAGTAACTATATTGTTTATAACAACCGACGATGCATGATCATTGAACTGATCAACGAATTAATAAGTGATCTCGACTAAGGCTTTTGTTGTGTGTGATTTTGAAAATTTTCATTCGTTTGGAATTATTTTATTTCATCTTATGGGGGAGAACGATTGAGAGTGAGAGATATCCAGGAGAGAGAGAGAGAGAGTAATAGATAAAAATTCAGATAGACAGAGTCAGAGATAGAGTGACAGACGGAGAGGGAAACAAACACAATATCAATATTTATGAGTGCTTTGTGTATGGTTTGTTACTCGGAAAATTTCGTTTCTAAATGACATAAACATCAAAATACATTATATTAATTGGCTTTAGATTTGAATACTTTTCTTAGGCCAAAGGAAGAAATGTTTATTTCCAGTTACCTTCCCTATATTTTGTGCCTACCTTTAACTTCTTCTTTTTTTTTGCAATTTTAAAGGAAGCACTGCTAAAGTAAAAATCACTTTACTGAATACTTTTCTTTGTAAATGAAAAATGAATTTAATTTTCTATCCTTATTTTTCCAGACATGTAAAAGGAAACATATATTATTTTGCTTTATTTTCTATTTATGTATGAATATTTAACTATTATCATTGACATGTAACAAGAATGACTGATACATTTTGATTTGTATTTACATTGTTATAACCTTTAGACAGACATATATAGATATAACACTAAATAAAAGCTCCCATTGTATTACTGCTGTGTATTTGTTTGTTTGAACTATTTATAGGTATCTGAAAATCTGATAATAGGCTAGGTTATTCATAATGTATTTTGTACATAAGAGGGGTTTTGTTATGTTAAATTCCTTTCCTGTCATAATCGTTATTTTGCATTTTGCAAAAGAAGAAGAAAAAAACTATCCAGTTTTCAACAATAAGATTTTCTTCTATAAATCAACAAAAAATGATTTTGCAGGGTGAAAAATAAAGTGAGGTTTAGTTATAGACTTCCCGAGACTTCTATTCCATCTATATAAACCACTATCGGGGGGATGACGTTAATATTCGTTGACACTTTCTATACATCGGGATAGGTCTGAATAAACCTACTATGATGGATTATCAGGCCCCTGTGGCCGGGTTAACAAGATAACCCTATGTGTGGACCAACCATAAAACAAGACATCGGGATATGTACAAACATACCTTTACATCCCCATTTCCCTGTGACCGGGCTAATTCGAGGTACTAATTATCAGGGTGGGTACACACATACTGAAAGTGATCAATTCGTAGGCCCCTGTGACTGGGATAACTATAGTGGTACCTGTGTGTGGAAATTTGTACAGTGTATGTATACGTTCATAAACATATACAGTAGGTACTTTATACTACAGACTATAGTTTACCTGTAATTAAATCTTACTGTTCTATACCTGACACCAAATCTCACTTAGCATACATCAAACGCCTTATCTGTATTTAGGTAAATACCAAAGGTATGCTAGGTGACGCGACACCGTACAAATATATATATAGTGATCAATGCACATGCCCCTGTGACCAGGCCTACTAAAGGTACCTACATGTATGTGTGGTCCAACCATACAAAATATTATAATGGCATCAGGGAATAATCAGACCTAAATCTGAACTCGACAACGGCAAAAAGCTCGGTAGTATGTGCCTCTGTAAGATGTCATGTGATAAGTACGACTGAGTCTTTGTACCAGACTTCAGTAACAACCAGGTGTACCTCGGTCATGTTTTCGCTATGTCTATTGAAAAAATGCTGACTTCCTTTTTAAAATAAAATTGACAAAACTATGAGAAAGATATAAGAGGATTTTTTTTTGTATGTGAAATAGAATACACCTATCGCCAATAGATTTTCTTATCTATATAAGTTTCATTTCCTACCTGGGGACACTACAGTGCGCATATACAGTATGTGTCTATAGCTGGATTTTGACTATAAAACCCTAGTAAATGACACTCAAAACATTCGCATAGTTTAAACCGACACAAAAATGAACGACAAAAGGTACAGCTGGGCATGAATTTAACCATTCTACATTAAATGAATGACGTCATAGAGCTACGACATTTTGGTGTATGTGTGTGTGAGGGGGTGGGGTATACTGTGAGGACAATAATTCAATCAATTATATCACCAATGTATTTAGAAAGTATTTAAAATTTCAAAGAACGTCCTTATTCAGACATACATGAAATGATTATCACTTTTACATACTGACCTCTGGAATATATTAACCGCTAGGCAGGAATACAACCAGGCTACATTAACTAAGTGACGTCATAAATCTACGACATTTGGGCATATAATATGTGTGTAGGTAGGGGGGACCTATAAACATTACGGAATTTAGGGATATTATTACAATTTGGAAGGGAGCTCCTAAACTCTCAGGCTGAATTCGTCAATGACAAACAATGTCTAATTTCCATAGAATATCATTTGGCTCACTGAACGATACTGTAATCGGTAACGGTACACTATATTATCACCACAGACCGGCTGGTATTTTAAATATCTCGTCATTATCATCAGTCCTAGGTGACAAGTCGTACATTGTTCCAATCATTGGTGCACAAATAGTTTTTAACTGTCATAAACATATGTCACTAGAATATAGTCATTACTGTGTTATATATTTGTAAAGGGTACTTAGTTTTCGTTACTATTTCATTAATCCCATGATGCATCTGAGTGTGCCAGGTAGATCAGTGTTGACGTAATTACCCGTTAGAATTTAAAGTTGTGTAAAATCCACCCAGTACAATTCATCGCTGTAGAATGTGTAAAGGACTCGAACAAGAGGAGCAAACTCGTTATAACTCACTTAATACCCCAATCTTATGTTGATACTTTATGCAAATCGATCTGTTATTGGTGCTACATTTACAGTGTAGATTATAAAGGGTTTCAGAATGTTCATGTCTACTTAACATTTATCATATTACATAATACTAGACTGACCAGCCTTTACGTACACTTCAATAACTCCTGAAACGGAAAGACCTCCCTGATCATTCTGTTTCTGTTATAATTCCCCATTTTCCATTCAAAGTGGAGCATATTGATACATATTTATATATCTCTCTCTCTCTCTCTCTCTCTCTCTCTCTCTCTCTCTCTCTCTCTCTCATTTATTGTTTTATCTTTTGATAAATATCAGGCTAGTGCTTATCAAAACGTTCCTACAATACATTTTGCTGCCAATTGCTTACATGTTAATTTCAGAAACTGTAAAATCTTCATAAAAACTGATAATTAACTCTTAGTAGGTATGCTACACAGCGACATGAGAACACTTGTCATTCTGTTTCGATACTTCTTATGCTTGGCCGAAAGCATATTACTCAAGTTCAAATCACAACTTAAATGTGCAACATAATAGTATGTCCTATTCACACATGTAATGATGGTCGCGTACGATAGCAAGATCTGTCTTTCAGGTAGATTATTTTTGGCCTAACGCCAGGAGTCCGGGATATTATCTTGTGTCTCGGTCAAGTCACGTGATACACCCGTCGTCACGGTTGATTCTCTAGTTCCCTCGGTCTGTTCCAGGTGTAGATTTGTTTTTTGTAACAATGAAAAGCAAATCAGGGTTTCCTGTCGTATAATTTTCAATTTACACTAGAGGTATACTTCTCTTCAACAACTATAACTTCCTTCCAGCTTTCGTTTTCTCCCTGGGAGTGTGATAAGCTAACATTTAAATTCTTCACAGAAAATATCTCAATTAATTAGGAAATATCTTATAACAGATGTATCTCTCATAATTATGGTCCTAATTATATGCGATATTTCTATTATATTGTATTGATTACTCTAAGTGATATAAAGATATGTATAAAATAATATAGTTGATTCTATTTCTTTTTAAATATCGCAAATTCATTTCAAATATCGATCCTCCATCTATAGATTTCTTTTCAAGAATTAGTTTGTCTAGCCGGTAAATAATGTTTCAGTTTTCGCCAGTGATACTGGGACCCCTTATAAGACAATTGGAGTATATTATCTGAAAAGTTACCTATACCTGGGTCTGAGCTAGATTCACCGAATGAGATATACATATTTGATTCTGCTCTTTATGGAATACAAAGGGTTTGTATGGATTTTGTGTGATAGTGTAGAAACATCAGTCCTAACGAGATCATCTGGTTTGGTATCTGCTACAGTTACACTGTACACGTTATTGATAACCTATGTAGTATTGGTGGGTCATCATATCTCCAAACTCTCTCCCGTCGACCGTCGGTAAGTACCCCGAGTAAACGTTACTTTTTTTTTATTAATCTTAGAACATTTATATGTTACCATCTTTATAAAACATGGATGACCTTTTTTAAAGACTCCTTGGGTTGTTATAGAGATATTGGTTGTGCGTGAGGCAAGATATGGAAATGACCAAATGATAAAGTTTTATGTTTCGCGATCGCCGTAAACATTTTTATCAGCGCAAATATGTTTGTTTTTCTTCTAAAAAAATACTACATGACACGACAGAAGAATGTGGCATAAAGTGTTTGTTTCACAATCCTTATTCAGAAATTAATTTTATTTCAATACGTATAAAGAAATATATATTTATTCATCCATAAATACATATGAAAAAGTCATCATAAACACAAATGTACCATGGAAATATTGACAAATATCTTGGTATGTTTCAGATAATCTGTCGTTAAAATAATCCGGGTCGATTTGAGTGATAATTATACAATACAGATATTTGTTTAGCTTTATTACGGCATAAATGTCGCAGATAATTTGGTAATTGAGAGATATTACACGACACGTGACAAACACGTGACAAACACGTGCTCCCGTACTTGCAATTGAATTGCGCTGCTCTGAAGTAATGATATGATGACGTAGCAAATTTCAATTTAGAGATTTCTATGACCGGGAAATCTATTAGTTTAACAAAATGATGACTACATTTCTATAAAAACAAATAATAATTGGATACAATTAGTAGATTTCAAAGTGATAAAGACGTAAAAATATATACTGTAAGTAGTCGGCTTTGACAAATGTCCTTTGTATTGACGCTGTGACGACCCATGATACAATTGTCTCGTATATCGACGCTATGACGTCACTGTGGAGTGTATAGTTTGTCCTTTGTATTGACGCTGTTTTGTTAGAGATAGATTTGTCCTTGTATGTTATATAAATATGTCGTTCTGACGTCACAGTGGTTTAGTTTTAAATTTTGTGTTGATGTTGTGACGACCCGTGATATAATTATCTTGTGTATCGACGCTATGACATCACTGTGATATGTTTAGTGTGTTCTTTGTATTGATGCTGATTTATTTGTATTGATGATGTTACATCCACTTGATTTATATTTTTTCTGACGATCTGGTGGTACGTTTTGTCCTTGTGTATTGTCGCTGTGACGTCACCGTGATATATCTTACTCCGTTTGTTCTGACACTGTAACGCCCTGTGATATTTGGTATGTTTTGCGGTTTGATTTTATGCTGTGACATCCCCGTGAAAAGATATGTACTTGTCTTTTGACGCTATGACGCCACGTTTTATATTTGAAAACTTTTGACGCTCGCGACGTTCCGGTAAAAAAATGTACTTGTGTTTTGACGCTTCGACGACATGTCATAATTGTATTTGACATGGTCACATTGGAATTGTCTAGGTTTTATACAGTTTAACGTCATCCTATCAACAGCTAAGGTTATTTAAGGACATATTCACATAGGATTTGTCTTGGTTTCATAGAGTTAAACACCCTATCAGCAGCTAATGTTATTTAAGGA